TCAAAACACATAATATTTCGAATAGTAAATATTTCGAAGAAATTACTCATAAAAGTTCTTTTCTGTTGTTATCGCTTGCAAACTTCTATGAAACCTAAATAAGAGATGATATTATTTGAGAAGACTATTTTTTTTGAAAGTTTAGTCGACACTTATAATTATATATTTTTAATATACTTTAGTCTGGAGCGAAATCCGATCTCAAAAATGATATATTTCAAACACAACTGACTCAACGGTAACCAACATCATTCTAATTCGAGTTTTCCTCGAAATTGAGAGTGTCGCAAATCAGGTAGTGATATTATTGGTTATTAGCATATCTCATCAAAAAACTGAGATCCTACCAATTAGAAACTAGAAAGAACACGAGACTTCACTGATATAGAGAATCTCACTGTGAACACATCATAATCTGACCGCCGAATACAATAATTAGATAATTTATAAATATCATGCTTTGACCGTTGGATACAATTACCTATCGTTATTTGTAAATAGAGGCTCATGGTGAATACGTCGCAGTCTGACTGCCGGATACGACAAATAGATAGTTTTATTCTAACATCACATCGTGCTCTGACCATCGGACACAATTATCTGCTATGATATTGTGAGAGATTTTGTTCTTTTATAACGTGTACCGTACTAATGCAATCCATTCATCTTTAGGAATTATAGCATTTGTTATTATTTGTGGAAGAGCATTCTATAAATACCCAATTATTAGCTTATTAGTTTCACTATCATCATTACAATATTATTGTATACATTAATATATATCAAAAAATTTTAGAAACAAATAAATATAAATAGATAAAATTTTATATTTACAATTCCTCTCAATTCTTCCTTTTTTCGGTTAAAATTATTAAAATAATTAAAATTTCGATTCAACTTATTCGATTGACTGGATTATATGTATTATATATTATACAGCTATATAAGTTTGGATATTAGAAGTTACAATTTTCGGCATTATACAGGAATCTATAATGCGAAAATTAATATAAAAATTTTTCAATAACCGAAGTTACAATGATATCAATTTAGTATATCATTATTCGGTTAATGTATTAATTTCAGTCTAAGAGTTGCTTTATATTTTATTTTTTGGATTGCTAATGGCATTCCTAAACTCAAACATTGTTTACGATTTCGCATATGAAACTACGTACACTGCTATAGACGCAAATGTATAGACAAAATTCAATATATGATACCAATAATTTTTTACAATAAAAAAAAGACTGAATCATAATTATATATTTAAAAAAAATTTACAAAATGTTGATTTTTATAGTATATATAATAAATATAATATATATAATAAAAATTTAAAAAATCGAAAATGCGAAAATATCCATTTTCTATTTTATAGCAAATTTAACATTATATTATATGAACAGTACAAACTGAAATACATTATTTGTTGCATCATATTTCGACTTTTAATTTATGATTTTATTAATTTATGAATATTAAAATTCATTCAGAAACTGAATATAAAAAAATTTACCATTAGATAAAAACTATCTATTGTGCTGTTTTATTCAGATATCAGATAAAATTCATTTCTGTCTTGATGCAAAATTCCATGAAAGATTTGCGAAAAATAAAAGAAATGAATATACTGCAGATAGATAACACAAATTGATAAATTATTAAATCTCGCGTTAAAGAGATAGCGGAAAAAAATTGATGATTGATCATAAAAAATATATGGATAACAGAAATTGATCTTACATTAATCAAATAATAATCGAACTGAAATGATTTACGAAATGTTCGTATAAATAAACGATTCATAAGTAAAATTATAAAACAATATAATTTTTAGAAAAAAAAAATTGTACAAATTATTATTTATTTTGCTTGCAGTTATAGAAAGCAATTGATCTATCCATAAATAATCCACAAGATTTATTAGATGATTTATGATTCCATTATTGCAATTACTGTTTTTAAACTAAACTATTCTACTTAAAAAAAAAACTATTCTCTTAATATGAAAACTATAGTATAAAAATTCATAAAATTTTAAATAAATAACTTAATTCAGGAAAAAAAATTTATAATTCTTGTAAGGAATCAAAATCATTTTAGCGAAAGTGAAATTTTTATAATATTATGTATAGTTCTAATAAATTTGTGTATTGTTCTAAGTTTCTAATTATTATCTGATTAATTTCTGTAAGTTCTAATTGCGATTTGATTAAATTCTGACTTTTTGTTATAGATCTTAATTCTTTAGTAATTTTTCATCGAAAATGTAACTAAGAAGGGAGAGAAAACTAACTTATAAATAGAATGCGATTGCTTTTATAGTCAATTGCAACAAATTTGGTGTATATAAATATTATTAAGTGCTTATAAAATGCTATCACTATTTTATTTTAATTTCTCAAATAACTATTATTGGATTTTTGAAATAATGAGGGAACTATATCTGCTCGTACTGTTAAAAAATTGGAAACTTAAAAACTTAAAATATCGAATTGAAGTTATTAAAAATTGAAATTGACTATTTCAGTCAGACTTGACTTTTATCCTTAACAACAAAGCGTTAAGGATGGTGCGATGCGAGTCCTTAGTAAATACAGAAAAAGTATGTAAGCAAGTATGTGAGAGAAAGAATGCATTGAAAAAATAGGACAAATCTTTTAAGGTGCATGAATAAAAACACAAAACAGAATATTGTGAAAAACTAGTAATTTTCATATCTTAAAAAATAATTCATATCTTAAATTAACATTAGAAATTTTTCGAAAGTTGTTTGTTGAATGAAGTTTTGATTTTTTGTTTGCTTGGTTCAGCAAATACTTGTATTATCGAATATAAATTGTTTAAAATTAAATCTAACAAACAAATACAAACAATATATATTGAAGTTATTAATATTAATCATTTAATATATTGTAATCCAGTAAATTTATACAAAAATTGAATTTAGTTTTTTTTCAATTTCTTATCTGCATTGCATTAT